CTCCAGCTCTGAGGCCTGGCTGGCTGAAAGCAGGTTTCTGGGGTTTGTTTAGCTTCTATAATTGCAACATTGTTTCTTAGAGTGCAGCTCAGAGGCCGGCAGCGGCAGGCGGGGAACCTTGGCTTCCTCCCTCACTGGAGCAAGCAAGCCTCCTGTTCGCTTCAGCTGCCTGGCTGCCGGCCGCCATCTTGGTTGGCAGTTAATTTGCATATCACCCTGATTAGCCAATGGGAAGCATGTCGGAGGTATGGTTAATTACCATGTTTGTCTATTATTAGATAGGATAGATAGATAGATAGATAGATAGATATAGGTATATATATATATGGTTATCTATGTATATTCATTTTGAGTGGCTTTTGGTAGCTGTGTCTTTCAGGGACTTTGTCCCTTTCATCTATGTTGTTGAATTTATTGACACAGTTATTCATCATATTCCATTATTATCTTTTTAATATCCATAGAGTTTATAGGAATGTTACCTCTCTCATTCTTGATAGTAATCATTTGTGTCCTCTCTCTTTCCTGACCAGGATGACTAGAAATTTATCCATTTTATTGATTTTTCTTAATAACCAGCTTTTGGTTTTATTGATTTTTTAAAGATTGTTTTTCTGTTATCTATTTCACTTACCTCCTTCATTACTTTTATTATTTCCTTTTGTTTTAATTTGCTCTTCTTTTTATAGTTTCCTTAGGTGGAAGCTGAGGTCTAACCAAGGAGCAAAGAAACTAAAATGCAGAATTGTACCACAGAACCCCCAAAAGATTCAAGGCTCAAGGTGTATTTGAGGCCTTTTTCCTTTTCTGATACAGATTTTAAGTACTGTGCATTTCCACCCAGGTCCTGCTTAGCAGCATCACACCAGTGTTTTTTTTTTTTTTATTCTCTGTTAATCCTCACCCAAGGATATTTTTTCCATTGATTTTTAGACAAAGTGGAAGAGAGGGGAAGGGAGAGAGAGAAACATTGATGTGAGAGAGACATATCAATTGGTTGCCTCCCACACGCATCCTGACTGGGCCGGGGATCAAGCCTGCAACTGAGGTACATGCCTTTGATCGGAATTGAACCTGGTACCCTTCAATCCATGGGCTGATGCTCTATCCACTGAGCCAAATTGGCGAGGGCTGCATCCCACCAATTTTGATCATGTGTGTTTTCACTTTCATTCAGTTTAAAATATTTTATACTTTCCCTTTTCATTTCTGCCTTGCCCCTTGGGTTATTTAGAAGTGCGTTATTTAGTTTCCAAACATTTAAGTGTTTTTCAGAAATCTGTCTCTTCTTGATTTCCTATTTAATTCCATTGTGGTCAACAAACACACTTTGTATGACTTGACTCTTTTCACATTTATTGAGACTTGTCTCATGCCCAGAATATAGTCTATCCTATAGCCATTCTGTGTGCACTTGAAAAGAATGTGTTTTCTGCTGTTTTGGGTGGAATGTTTTACTAGTGTCGATTAGGTCCAGTTGGCTGATAACATTGTTCAAATCTGTATCCTTACTGATTTTTTGTGTTTACTTGTTCTATTGAAAAAGGGGTGTTGAAATCTCTGATTATAATTGTGAATATGCCTATCTGACTGTTTCTTTTTAAGCAGACTCTTAGTTGATACTCCTGTTTTTCAGTCCCATGCCCGCCCTTCCTGCTCCCAGAGATACTTGAGCCTTTGGGGGGTTCTGTGTTACAATTCCTCTTTTTAGTTTCGTTGCTTTCTGCTCAGCTAGTTATCACTTGTCATTCTGTTCTTCAACTTCCAAACTATTATTATTTTCTTTGCTCTTGTGGGTTCTTGCCTTTAAAAAGAAATATTTTTTTACTGAAATTTTAGTGGGGTCTTTGAAGGGAGCTGAGGTTAACACCTGGATTCTGGATTCAGTGTGCCATCTTTTTTCAAATACTGTTTCATAGAATATTTATTATTAAAACAATATAATGATTTAAAAAGGCATTTGGGGGAAAATGGAAATCTGAGCATCCTAACACAATCACATATAATTTTCTGTATTTCCTTATTTGTTTGCTTTTAATTTATCTTGATTGTTGAAAGTATTATAGATGTCTTT